TGGACACTCTTGGGAAGGGGCAGTTAGCCTTGAAGTGTCCAGGCTGTCTACAGTTGTAGCAGAGGTACTCTCCATTGCTTTCAGAAGATTTGGTCTTCTGATGTGGTCTTCTGATGGAAGATGGACTCCTTCCATCTTTCTTCATAAATTTTCTGAATTTTCTGGCAAAGGCAGCCATATATTCATCAGATAGAAGAGTTGAGGGATCAAAGTTTGTAGCCTTAGAAGTGCTGGCAGTAAGGGCAGTTGTGGTTCTTTCATCTGGCACTTCTTCTTTCTCTTCAACCATCTCGAACTCATAAGCTTTGAGATCTGAGATCAATCTCTCTGTGGGGTAGGTCTTGATGTTCTTGCTTTCTTGGACTGCAATCACCTTCATCTTCCAAGCTGAAGGCAGTCCCCTGAGGATCTTCATGTTGACCTCTTTGATGGTGAGCTCCTTCCCAAGCTCAGAAATCTCACTAATGAGAATCAGCAGTCTCTCATGCATCTTAGCAATGCATTCTTCTGGCAGAAGTTTGAAATCATCAAACTTCTTCATAGCAATGGTCAACTTGTTATCTCTTTCTTGTTCATCTCCTGCACCAATCTCATCCAGCTTATCCCAGATTTCTTTGGCAGTTCTGCACTTCTTGATCCTGTTGAAGTATCTTTCATCAATAGCCTTGTAAAGGATGTCCTTGGCTATATTGTCAAGGTTGTACTGTCTTTTCTCTTCCTTGGTCCATTCAGACCGGGCTTTCTCAATCATCTGGGGTAGATTGTTGTCTAAGGTATGGGCAGGGTTGATCTTCATGAACTGGATAAAAGGTCCATTTTCCAAGACTTCCCACATTTCATCATGAAGGGCACATAGATGTGCCTTCATTCTGATCTTCCAATCATCATACTTCTGATCTGTGAACATCAGATGCTTGGCAAGAGAGTTATCCATAATAACAAATAAATAGAGGCTAAGAACAAGTGGATCTTTGTTCAGAGAGTAACCTAAAAGATTACAAGAACAAGGAGGCTCTGATACCACTTGTTGGTCCCGTTTAATATGGTAATCAGTCTAGAGGGGGGGGGTGAATAGACTGATTGGTTTTTCAACTTTTTCTCAAAGTCAAAACTGACTTATCAGAGAAGGTCTGATTCTGATGACAGAGAAAGGCTGGTTCTGATATCAGAACTGGCCTTGGCAGCGGATTCTGATCTGTCCGGGTAGCCTCAAAAATTCTATGGCAAATGCCTTTCTGATAACTCTGAAAACAGGATCTGCTGAACACAGATTCCAAGTCTTAGAGTTAGTCAGTTAATATCCTAAGTGCAGAAATATAAATTGCAGTAAAGTAAATGACACCGGATATTTTTATAGTGGTTCAAGGAACAACTCGTTCCTCTAGTCCACTGTTCCACTAGCTTTGAAGTAGATCAGTTACAAAGCTAATTCCTAGTACTTAAGAAGCACTCCTCGTCTTCTTCAAGCCTAGATGCCACCCAGGATGCAGTTCCACGTCCTGATGGCTGGTCCTTTCACTCAGCTTCCCGGAAGTATCACCACTTCACTACTGCAGTTACTTGGACGCCCTTCTTTTCAGAAGATCCTTTGAAAAACAGAGTTTTTCCTCCAACTTGCTTCGTTACAAATGATGTTTGATGAAGTTCTTGAAGTGTTGAAGAACAGGATGAACTTTGCTTGTTTGTTGGGGATGAGAGATTTGGAGTTTGAATCTTCCCAACGTTGACTTTTCTTGTAGAGTGTTATGAAGGTTGAATCTCAAGAAGTATGTTCGGAAAAATGGATCAAGAGTTCTTAGCAAAGTTATTTTTCTGTTCTTCGGTGTGTAGCTTATATACTGAGGTTGTCTGCCCGTTGGAGGAGGAGACAACTGCATTAAATGCGCGTACAGTTGACTTGACCGCCGTTTTTGGAAGGTTTCTATTTTTTAAAAATATCTTCCCGGATTCTTTGGTCAATCATTTGCAATCAATCCTTCAGCGTATCAGGCTCATTTAATGTGCATTAAATGCTTTCCTTTCATGCACAGTCTTGTAGCCGTTGGATGTTTTTACCCGTTGAATTCATAGCTGTTGGATGTTGCATGAAATCTTCTAAGTGTTAGTCGGACTCTGATCAGGATTTTCTGATGTGTTGGATTCTGATGGCTTTCTGAGTTCTGATGGCTTTCTGATGAGTTGAGTTCTGATGGCTTTCTGATCTCTGACTGAACTCTAACTCCGACTCTGATAGGTCCGCTGATGAGTACCTCTGATCTGTAGTTCTCATCGGTTATCAGATGTCCAGGTTTATCAGCAACTCTTATGATGCAACTCTGATGGACTTCTGCTAAGAGAACTCTGATGGACTTCTGCTAATAGAACTCTGATGGAGCAGTTCTCATAGAGCAAGTCTGATTGAGCAATTCTGATGCACTTCTGATCTGATCCAAAGTAGAGCAACTCTGATCGTCGACTACACTAATACTTACAATTGAAAATTTCTAATACACAAAATCTAATTTGGGGTACTTTAAAATTCTAATCCTATAGCATCATCAAAATCTAATTACATTTATTCCTTACACAAAATAATCTGAAAAAGTACAAAAACAATGACTGAAGCCCCAACTAAAAAGTATATTATGTATTATAAAATATAAATTAAATGTCAACGAACAAAAGCTAAAAGCAAAATTGAAAAAGAAAACAAAAAGTTAATAAAAACGAAAATAACAGTTGGGATAAAAAAGAAAACACAATCAAATAAATCAATTGGAGCAGGAAGACAACTCCAGGCCATGTTGTATACTAAGAATAGTTGGGCAGCCGATTGAAATTAAAGAAATAGAAGAGGAAGAAGAAGGGGAAGAACAAGAATCAAATTTAAAGACTGTGGATATTAAAACTTACCTATATTGATCATCGCCGTCCGCCGACGATCGAAGTTGGAGAAAAAAATCGATATTCAAATCTCAGCTCTATAATCCTTCGGAGTGTGAGAAATCAGATCTAGAAAGTAAGAGGTGGGAAAGAGATGAAAAGAGAGGTGGGAGGGGTTGCGTACACGCGTGAGAAAATTCTGACAAAGAAAAAGGAATCTTAGGAATTCAAATAAGGAGTAAATTATTCATCAACAGGGGTAAGGGGTATAGTTGGCAAAAGAAACGGATCATTTTAGTGATAACTCCCATTTAGGGAATAAATTAATAGGAACTCCTATTTTGGAATTTTATCATTGTTCTACTCCCATTTAGGGTAATTACTTTAAGATATAAGGTCGGGCACGCATAGTGATTACAGAGTACTTATTTTGATTAGTACACTTATGCACCATTCAATAATCTTTAGTTAAAGGTTATTTATCACTTTTCTGAGCTATTAATCTGAACATAATGTGCACTTTCTATTGTATTTTATTGCCTTTAACTCAAAGGCAATAAAGTGAACTAAATATCCCTTATGCGCCGGTTTACGATAATAACTTACTATTCATTAAACCATGCGAAATAATTGTGTATACAGCGTCGTAAAGCAAGTATAAACGGCTTTACCCATATAAATAAATGTAGGGACTCTATATCATCTTTACTTAAATCTTTCCAACCATATAAAGACTTTTCATCATTATGAGGTCAAGACAAACATTGTTTATTAGTGCACTTTTAGCAAGACATATCAACTGTATCTAGTACACTGTTTATATTCCTTAGAATATAAACAAATGCTCAGGCCAATAATCAGCGAGATCGTATTTTATGTAAGGTATGAGTATCTAGATCAATATGCTTTAAAAACAACGGTTAGAGCGTATTTCATCCTACAATTATCAGGCTATCTAGGGTTTATATTTTTTCACGTCTTTAAGAAAAGTATCTTAAAGACAGAGCAACATAATTCAATCTTTAGTCTCTCGTAAAACAAAACGGTAATATGCTGAGGGGAAGTGTTTAAATACTATAGTCATCTCGTATAAAATATTTTCTATTGAATAGATAATTGTTAGCTCGATCTATTATACAAAGTAATGGCTTTTCAGAGTTTTCCTTGGATATCATTGGTGACTAATTAAACAATTCTGTTCTTCCTATACGAGTGCCAATATAATTACCTTAAACGTTCATATGTCTTTGTAAGGTGTATATCTTCCAAAGTATAAAAGCGTCCATATAAGTTGAAATATCCTTAGATCAAAATGTCTTTCTCAATTTAGATGAGTTTAAGTACCGAGAATAAAGCTGCTATGATTAGTTTATATCCTATATCACAAAATCAAGTGATATTAACTCAGGATCTAAAACGTGAATTTATGACAAACGGGACAAAATATAATTGGTGTAGATTAAAGACAGAGGACAATTTGTGATCCATTTTTATTTTTTTTTTTCGATAATATGTAAGTATATTAGAAACCGAAAAAAATAGCATTTTACAATGCATCAATCCAAATCAAAATGACTATCTAAGCTAGAATAAACTAACCTAGATATAATGCATCAAGATAATGGGACAAACCCCACTTCACAAATCACTAATTAAAAAAGTCCAGTCTATCTAAGGAATCCGTAGTTTCCCCTTCCAAGAACTATTTTATCTTTCTTCCAATCATTCTTCCAAGCCGTCTTTTATACTTCTCATCTGTCTCACCCTTTCTCCGCCTACTTTTTTTGGTGGTTTTCTTGAAATGGTGTTCCTGATCCTGTTCCTCTTCAGTTTCATATTGGTCTTCAGAATCAGTAATATATATCACAACTCTCTTCCGTAACCGTGATCCATTTTTATTGGTTACTACTCACGTGTGCAAAAGCATTGCCGCATGAAGACTCACGTGTACATGAGGTTTACTGCATGAGGACCTCTCCTTGTTGTATATTTGTATGTAACATTAATTTATTGGTTGATGATTATCTCATCCCATTCTTACGTAAAAGTAGCAGTAGATTAGTATGGGTAGTTGAGATATATTTGTATTTAAATAGCATAGCTACGGTGAATGAAAATCAATTCGATCACGATCTAAATACAAACTCAGTTCAATATATCTTCGTTTGATTCTTTACATGGTATCAGAGCCAAATCGATCCATGGTGTGGGGCCCCTTATGAAAAATGACGACACGATAAAAAAAATGACGAACCGATAAAAATGAATGACGACACGATCCAGACGAAGTGTCTGGTCGTGAGGAGGGGTGTTAAATGTCCCACATCGGAAAATTGAGAAGCACAAGAGTGGTATATTAAGCTTCGGGCTACTCCTCCTAACAGGTTGACCTTTTAGGATGGAACCCCGAGTCTTAACATGGTATCAGAGCAGTGACATAGATCCTGCGATTTCTCGATCAACAATGGCTACCGACTCCAACGGCAACGACGGCGGACGAAGGAAAATCAATGATATTTCTTCTCCGTATTACCTATCAAGCGCTGATTTCCCAGGGATGAATATCTGTGGGATGATGCTGAAGGGCGAATCGAATTACCGCGAGTGGTCTACGGCTATGAAGAACGCTCTGCGGGCGAAACGGAAGGTGGGATTCATTGACGGTAGTATCCCACAACCAACGACGAACACTGCGGACTCGGAAGATTGGGTGATTGTGAATGCTATGATCGTTGGATGGCTCATGACGGCCACTGATCCGGTGCTTAGGTCGAATTTGACCTACATGGATAGTGCCTTGAAGAATTTTTGGGAAGTTCTGAAAACCCGATTTTCTGTGGCCGATCCAATGCGAATATATGAATTAAAGGAGGCAATTCGGCAGTGCCGGCAGAAGGGTCAAACTGTTACGGCGTATTTCGGAGAACTCAAAACACTTTGGGACGATTATGACGGGCTCCGGGCTATACCGCAGTGTAAGTGTAATAGGTGTACCTGCGATCTCAATAAGCAATTCCTTAGGCTTATTGAAATTGAGAAAACCCATGAGTTTCTTCTCGGCCTTGATCATGACGGTTTCGGCGTACTGCGTTCCAATATCTTAAGCAAGGATGACCTGCCGTCAATGACCAAAGTTTACCAGGCTGTGACTCAGGAAGAGAGGACCCGTAACGTGATTAAAGGCAGAGAAGAACGAACTGAAGTTATGGCTTTAGCTGCACGAACCGGAGACGGACGAGATGAGAAGATTAAGTGTACATACTGCCACAAAACTGGACACGACGTGGACAATTGCTTCAAGAAAACTGGACGCTACCCGGAGTGGTGGTATGACAACCCCGGACGAGGAAGAGGAAGTGGCCGGGGAAAAGAAAGAAGTGGGCCTGGCCGCGGACGAGGGAAGGCAGTCGCACACGCCGCCATGATTGGAGAAGCATATGAAGAGAAACACAGAGAAGGCGCTGAACAGAATACGGTGTCGGGGCTTTCCGATGAACAATGGAAGGTATTGCTGCAACTAGTTGAAAAAAGTAAGGCCACATCCTCGGGAGATAAATTATCAGGTATGCCGTATGAACTGGATTGGCTCTTAGACTCTGGAGCCTCTTATCACATGACGGGTAAAGCCGAGCTATTTGCCAAAATTGATAAATTGAATCCAATACCGGTTACCATGCCAGATGGTAAAATTACTTATGCCACAAGTATGGGAGAAATTCACATAAGTCCCAAAATTCGTATAAAAAATGTGCTTTTAGTTCCCGGATTGAATTGCAACTTAATCTCTGTTGCACGCCTGATTGATGACATAGGATGTGAGATTTATTTTGCTAATGATATTTGTGTAATACAGGGCCTACCTTCGAGGACGCCGATTGGAGTGGCTAAACGGAAAGGAGGAGTTTATTATTTTCACTGTCTGGACAGAATTCAAGCTCATTCAATCAAGGGTGTACATTCAGGTGAATTGTGGCATTCAAGATTAGGGCATCCGTCCAAGACAGTTCTGCGTTTAGTTAGTATATTGAATAATTCCTTGTTTCCAGTTATTTGAATAATGTTTGTGATGCGTGTTTACGTGGTAAACAAACTCGTGATTCTTTCAATTATAATTTAGCTAAAGCTGTTGAACCATTTGAGTTGATTCATTGTGATATCTGGCGCCCGTATAGAACACCTGCCACGTGTGGTGCACGTTATTTTTTAACAATAGTGGATGATTACTCGCGGGCAGTGTGGGTACATTTGATTTGTGATAAGGGTGAGGTACGACATGTATTGCAATATTTTCTTGCTATGACACGCAGACAATTTAATAAACAAGTGAAAATTGTTCGAAGTGACAATGGCAAGGAGTTCACAAGTATGAAAGGATATTTTTTGGAGCAAGGAATAATATTTCAAACCTCTTGTGTCTATACCCCCACAACAAAATGGCAGGGTAGAAAGAAAACATAGGCACATTCTTGATATGGCACGTACACTGCGTTTTCATGCACACTTGCCAATAGCCTTTTGGGCGGAATGTGTTCTAACGGCTAGTTATCTCATTAATAGATTACCCTCGCCAATCTTGGATAACAAGAGTCCATATGAAATGTTGTATAATAAACCGCCAGATTATGACCGATTACGTGTCTTTGGATGCTTGTGCTATGCACATAACAAAGATCGTACAGGTGACAAATTTGCTCCACGTGGAATTAGATGTGTTTTCTTGGGATATGCTTATAATCAAAAGGGATGGAAAGTCTATGATTTGGAAAAACAAAGGCATTTTGTCTCACGTGATGTACGTTTTGTTGAGAGCAACTTTCCATATCAAAGTGGCATCCCAGATGATGTACAACAGGATGATGACGAGGCAGCTGCATGGCTGCGTTTGACCAACTTGGCGGATTCTGATGGTGCTGGAACGAGCAGTACTAATGAGGAGGCACGTGGTAATATGGAACACTCCAATGAAGAATTGCATACGGACGACAATACGACAGGAATATCAACAAATAATACTTCCAATTCCATGCACCATGCAGACACTACAGCGACCACGTCTGGCATTCAGCCCAAACGAACAAGGAAGCCCCCTCTTTGGCATAATGATTATGATGTCCGACTCAACACAGTGAAAATAAATTCTCCTCCCCACGTTTGCGCTGCTCCAAAGGCCGATTCAGGTAACCCTTATTCACTATCTCATTATGTAAAATATACTCACTTTTCGGTCCAGCATCGTGCTTTTCTTGCAGCTCTTTCAGCTCACAAGGAACCCACTTCTTATCAAGAGGCTGTTCGTGAACCGCATTGGCGTGAGCCCATGCAACGTGAGATTCAGGCTCTTGAACGCACTGGCACATGGGAAGTTCAGTCCTTGCCGGCTGGTAAGAAAGCCATTTTTTGCAAGTGGGTGTTCAAAATAAAATATAACACTGACGGTAGCATAGCACGGTACAAGGCTCGGTTGGTTGTTTGTGGTAATAGACAGGTACATGGCATTGATTATTCGGAGACTTTTGCTCCCGTAGCAAAAATGGTAACTGTCCGTACCATAATGGCAGTTGCTTCTGTTCGACATTGGGAGATTCATCAGATGGACGTTGACAATGCCTTTTTGCATGGCGATTTACGTGAGGAGGTGTATATGCATTTACCTCCTGGATATACCGCCTCGGGGTCTGGAAAGGTATGCCGTTTATTGAAATCCTTATATGGACTTCGCCAGGCACCGAGATGCTGGTTCTCGAAGCTCACTGGGATTCTGCGTAACTATGGGTTTGTTCAGTCCCATGCGGATTATTCCTTATTCACTTTACAGCGTGATTCTCATATTGTTTGTGTGTTAATTTATGTTGATGATCTTCTTATCACCGGAAATAATCATGCCATGATTGTTGAATTTAAAAAAAAATTGGGCCACTCCTTTCCCGTTAAAGATTTGGGACGAATGAAATATTTTTTAGGAATCGAGGTGGCTCGAAATTCTTCCGGTATTTTCCTCTCTCAACGAAAGTATGTGCTGGACATTCTCACTGAAACAGGGCTCCTTGGATCCAAGCCTGTGTCATTTCCCATGATTCAAAATCATGGCCTTCAATCGGATCAAGGACCTCTATTTACTGATCCAGACCGATATCGTCGATTAGTTGGTAAACTTATTTATCTTACCCTTACTCGACCGGATATCAGTTACTCTGTTCACATATTATCTCAATTTATGCAACAACCGAGACAAGCACACTGGGAGGCAGTTGTGCGGGTATTGCGTTATCTCAAAGGACATCCGGGACAAGGGATTCTGCTTCGGTCCGATTCCTCTCTCACCTTGGCTGGGTTTTGTGATTCTGATTGGGCCAGTTGTCCTGTTACACGAAGATCTGTCACCGGTTATTTTGTCCAGCTTGGTGGGTCTCCTATATCTTGGCGCACGAAGAAGCAGGTTACGGTATCCCGGTCCTCGGCTGAGGCGGAATACCGGTCTATGGCCACTCTCACGTGTGAATTAATCTGGCTAAAACAGTTATTGGGATCGCTCGCTGTGCGGTTTAATTCTCCTATTCCTATTTTCTGTGACAACAACGCCGCCATCCATATCGCCTCTAATCCAGTCTTTCATGAGCGAACTAAGCATATAGAGTTGGATTGTCATTTTATTCGTGATCATGTACAAGCAGGTACTATTGTTCCTGTTCATAAATCTACTACGGAACAGCTCGCGGACCTCTTCACCAAAGCTCTGGGTTCCCATCAATTTTCTTATTTACTTGGCAAGATGGGCATTTTAGATCCCCATGCTCCATCTTGAGGGGGGTATTGGTTACTACTCACGTGTGCAAAAGCATTGCCGCATGAAGACTCACGTGTACATGAGGTTTACTGCATGAGGACCTCTCCTTGTTGTATATTTGTATGTAACATTAATTTATTGGTTGATGATTATCTCATCCCATTCTTACGTAAAAGTAGCAGTAGATTAGTATGGGTAGTTGAGATATATTTGTATTTAAATAGCATAGCTACGGTGAATGAAAATCAATTCGATCACGATCTAAATACAAACTCAGTTCAATATATCTTCGTTTGATTCTTTACAATTTTTCAACATCATAGCAGGTTTGGGTTAGATAACACTGAAATCTGACACCCAACTCTATATTAGAAAGTAAATTAAGTTACAATGGACTTAATTTACTTTCAGGCGCCGGTTTCGAAAGGCTAAGTATTTATGATTATCGGAAACACGGGATACTATTGTCCGGTAAAGTAGGGAGGTAAGTACATATCAAGACACACAGCAATATATGAATTAACGGGACATCTCTATCTCATCAACCTTAGAACTCAAGATTGTTAGACATTTCTAGATTTATAAAGCTTTTTAATAAATCTTCATTGAATACGGTATATTTGTGGTAAAGTGATACTTTATATTGTGATACCAACCCTAGGTTTTCAATGAAGACCAAGCAACTAATGATAATCTATGTCGGTCTTCACGGTGTTAATACAATAACAAGAATTGAGAAATAATATGAAGGTAGCTTAAAAACATCTCTATGATTTAGCGTTTTCAGCCTAAATAGAGTACTTTTTGGAAAACACCTTGTTGGAAATGATTGTCATTAACAACGTAAATCTCTATATTCCCAGTTTTACTTAGGGGTGCCTGGCCTAATAAAACTTAGGTACGATAAATTTACTTATAGCAAATTTAATAAATACTTCAATATTTAGAGTGAAGTATTTTGGGTTCAGGTTAAGTTCAAGCTCGACAATTAAGCAAGTGAATATAGATAGGTCTTATATGTGAAAGACGTTTATATAAGCCAAATAAAGAGATAGAAAACGTTTACATATAGTTAAATTGTCCTATATAGGCATATATAGCGTATTCCAAATAACAAATAAGATCCTTTTGTTAATCAGTAATTTACATTATCGTTTTTGCATTAAACATGGGCGTGCCTTTATGGCAAAATAACCCATACTAGAGTGACAAACAGACTCATTTAAAGTACTTAGATATATGACATAATATATCTAAACGTTTAGATTAGACAATTTTGAGTTCTAACTTTTGGTCTAATACACGATAAACATCTATAGCTCTTGCATTTTAATACTCGGTTTTATTGGAAAACCATTTAAAAGTTGTGCTAGGCTATAACTTCCATAGATTGCCATTTAATAATATGTAAATATCTCATATCACAAGCAATATACTATGATTTATCGAATACTCCGAATTTTTTATGATTACGATTGTAAGATACTTGAGGTATCTAAAAAGTCCAACTGACTTTATCGGATGCTCCATCACTGCAATTTGTTAACCATTCTCTTGTACACGCTATAATCACTATTTCGTGACAATCCCTAATATTAAGTTATTATGCCCTAACAGTTTAACATTCCTTTGCTTGAGATATTTATTACTCGTTGATTAACCATACCATTTTGTCTTTGATATTCGGACTCATATAGAATATTTGTAAGAGAACTGGGTCTATTTCGTGTAAAATAGACAATTAGTATATCAAACCACAATTTTATACTTACAAAAACGCGATAGCACGGAATAACATTATTATTACATTGTCTATTATTAAATAGGGTCATCTCTTATGTTCAGAAATCATTGATGTTTATGTATTATTTCCTTTGTAGTTTCATGTTCCATTACATTTCAATAGTATGTAAATACTATTAGAACATCTCGCTGAAAACTTTAAGGACTGCTAAATCAAGATTATCACGAAGATTAGTAATCTATATAGTGACCCATTTTATAGTTTGATATCTTATCCCTAAATGACGTATAGTCTTTACTAGTATTTACATGAGTTCCTATCTTGTGGAGGTCGGAATCGCATTTTGATTATGTGTGTTCCAACTTCATTTACAATGCATTAGGTAAAAGGTAAAGATTAACCTTTTAAAAATAAATTCAAGATGAATATCTAGTTTTCAAAGCAATACAATATGATCTCCATTAATAAATGATCTTAACAAACTAAAACCATCTCAATTTCTCTTTGGGTTTAGTTTTGTCCTTAAATTATCTCTTATCGAGCTCTAACACTTTTAGCGTAAATGGGTGTTTGTTCCTAGATATTTCGTTTATTACACAACGTGAGATATCTCTTTTGTGAGTACAGCATTTTACTACCAGATATGAACCCAACGACTTTGAAAACCCTTCATTTTCTAATCTCATCTAGTCTAGGAACAAAAGATTCCTTTGTGAATCTCGTATTACGTCTTGGAAATTTGTT